GTGTTTTTTTTTTTAATCTTTTTTCTGATTAAAAAAAATTTTTTTTTTTAAATAAATTCAGTGTTCACATTTCTACAAAGAATTAACCCAGTTTCAGGAAACCCTGCCCCGGCAGGGCAGGTAAGCAACACTCTCCCTGCCCACATCTAGTTTGATTTCACGCCCTGATGCTTCAAGCTGCGCGGAAAAGCGGCAGCTTATGGAAGAGGAAATCCATGCCTGGCCTGTGCTCAGGGCCTGGGGCTCAGGAAGCTTTCAAGAAAGCAGAGGGGAAGACTAGCTTACTGCAAAACCTTTTAAAAAATATTCATACACTCCAATGAGCACCTGTCCAGATGTTAGAACAAGAGATTGGAAACATCCCGTCCAGGCCAGTGGGAGGCAGCGTCTTCCTCGGGGTGCCCTCGGGGTGCAGGGGGAAGGTCCCGGCTCTTCCACTGGAGAAAGGAGACTCGCCTGGCTTTCTAGTTCATGTTTGACTCTTTCCTCTAAAACCTGTGCTGAGTCTTGGACTGCATGAACGGGAAGCACAAACATTTGACTTGTATGCAAAAAAAGTACAAAAACAACTAGAATATCAAAGTTTTGGTAATATAAGGCCATCTGTTCAAGTCCACCTTGGAAACCTGTAACAGATATTTAAATACTACAGTGAAAAGGCATCTTAATATACTTTTTAAAAACATCTGAAGTAATCTGCTAAGATTAAGTGTGTAAAAAAAAAAGTCAATTCCCTTTGAGGGCACTTTGTCCTTTGAAGAAGGCAAGGTGGGGTGGGAGGGCACAGGGCCGGCGGGTTAATGCTTCAGCCATGGGTGGGCTTCAGTGGAAGCCTTGCTGCGGTCCCCATAGCCATACAGGAGCTCCTCCCCAGCCGCGATGTCTCGGGAGGCGATGAGATTGAGGTGAGGCACACCATCGATGTCGTGCAGTTTGGTTTGGCAGTTCCCACCTTTGCTGTGATTGATCAGCCTTCCTAGGCGATTTGTCTCTCTAGTTGCATCCACGCAGTAGGCTTTGCTCAGATACTGAAAATAGTACATGTAGCAGCCCGTGGAAGGGTCCTGTGTGTACAGAGCCTCCCGCTTCTTGGCGCCTGCGATCTCAATGAGGTCCCCGTGGTCTTCCACCACAAAGTCACCCCGGGAGAACTACTTGGTGGCAATCACACCCCTGCCTTTGCCACCGATGAGGTCAATCTTCATTCCTTCTTCCTTCCCACTTTCAATCAATTCATCTATTCTTTTCCTTTCTTCAGACTGCAGTTCAGCTTTGCTCTTCCTGGAGCTCCTTCAGACAGGGTAGAAATCCGTAAGTTTGTGATTCTGTTGCGTTTTTCCTTGGGCTTTTTTTCAGGGGTGACTGTTTGACCCTGATGGGCTTTTTCAGGGCTTGCTTGGCCACGGCTGCATTGGCGGAATCACAAGACGAGGGTGGAGTTTTTGGAGGTTCTCTTGCTTCAGATTTTTGGTTTCGAAAAGGTGCCAGGGGACCTCTCCTGGAATCTTTGATCTTCTGTTCCTCCGACGTCATGGCGCTCCGTACCGCGTTCCCAGCTTTTCTTTTCTCTTCTCCTTTCCTGTAGATTCCGGCTGATGGTTTCCCCTGGCATTTGACTTAGTGATGTGTAACTGAGTTCTCTTCCTGCAGCCCTGCCAGGCCCATCCGCGTTGCGCCCCCCGCCCTCGCCGCCGCCACCAGCGCCCCACGGCACCCCTTTCCCCCATGGCTGGCGAGGCAGGGCCCAGCACCGGGGCACCGCGGCAGCCCAGGGCTGCCTGGAGGAGGCAAGCAGGGAGGGAGGCGCAGGCGGAGCGTCCCGACCTCATTCTTCTTGACAGGCTCAGGCTGAGGAACAAATGCAGCACCCCCATTCATTAGAAGTCACCCCTGTGTCAACCCCACCTGCCTTCCTCAGTCCAAGGCAAATGGCTGAGGTGGAGGGAAGTTCACCCTCCTGACCAGGAGCCTGACACCACCCGGCCACACTGGGAGGTGTCACCAAAATGGTGACAGCCTCCTTGAGATGCTGTAGTTTGCATCTGGGCCCCAAAGGAGTCCCTTCTGTGATGGGCATTAGCCCAGTATTCCCACAATGACCCTGTGCAGGACAGGGTCTGAGGACAGGGCCAGGCTGCTCCGGCCATGAGGACAATGCCCTGCAGGGGACCCGAACACCGAAAACAGAGGGAGGGTGAAAGCCATGATCTCTGTGCTTTCAGCAAAGCTCCCCACACACCTAAGGGTTCAGGGTCTCTGTGATACCCAACCTAATCCTGTCACCATGGTCAATGACAATCCCAACCAGCAGAGCTGTCCCCCAACACAAGAGGGGTCCTGCCCACCCCCAGATCAGTTCAGCTGGCCCACGCTCCCAGAGGGGGGACATGGCCCCTGCATGAATCCCTAATCCTCCAACAGTACTCTGCAGGATGTGTCTTCATGTGAGAATGTCCCTTATCCCCAAGTGTCCTCAGGCCCACTGAAGTCTGGGCATGAGCAGCAGATGACCTTGGGGTGATGAGAGACCTCCTTCCTCTGAGCCTCAGGAGAGGACAGTCCCAGAGACTGACATGGGCAGTTGGAGGGAAGGCAACCTCACTCGGAGCTGCTCAGTGGAGCTGGGCTTGGGGCTGAGTGGACCCAGTGACCATTCAGAAGCTCTCAGACCACACACACCCTAGACCCTGAGCTGGCATGGATGGGGCCATCACATGCTTCCTCATCTATCACGTCCTTGGAGGTTGCTGAGCCCTGATGACTGATTGATGCCTGTGTAGATATAACCAGAACTGGCCAGGCACGGTGGCTCACACCTGCAATCCCAGCACTCCAGAAGATTGAGGCAGGAGGACTGCTTGAGGCCAGGAGTTCAAGACCACCCTGAGAAACATAGTGAGATTCCATCTCTACAAAAATAAACAAAATTTAAAAAGTAGGCTGGCATGGTGGCACGTGCCTGTAGTCTCAGCTACTGGGGAAGCTGAGGCAAGAGAATCACTTGAGCACAGGAGCTCAAGGCTGCAGTGAGCCGTGATCGCACCACTGCACTCCAGCCTGGGCAACAGAACAAGACCTCATCTCTGCAAAGAAAAGAGAAGGCCATGTGCAGATGGATGCAGTGGCTGGAGTGACACAGCGGTAAGGGAATGAACGACAACAATTGCTGGCAAGCAGCAGAAGCTGAGAGGCAGGGAACAGGCCTCCTCTGGAGCCTCAGGGGCCAGTTAGGAGCTGTGCCCCTCAAATGTGGGCTTCTGGCCTCCGGTGCTGGGACACCGTGCATTTCTGTCATAGCAAGAAACCCAGTCCCTGGCAGTTAGTTATGGACGCCCCAGGACACTCATCCAGCCGTCTGACAAGGGCAAGCTCCAAGGAAGGGATTCCCTCCTTATCTACGTTGTTTGAAGATTTTACAATAATTTACTCTTGTAGGGCTAATCATTGTTAACAACACAAACAAAACAGTAAAGAAATGACCTACATCTTCAGTTGGGAGTTTGGTCTGCCGCTTATCAAGTGTGGAATCTTGAACAAAAGTTAAACATCTAAATGTCTCCATCACGTCATCTGTAAAGTGGGGGTGGCACACCCAGGGGCTCACCTCCCAGGTTGGTGCTGGGCTCTCCCTGGGCCCCTGTTCTCTCACCAGCCACGTTCACTCTTCCCCCAAAGTGACGCCAGTGACTGTGCTGGCTTTCCAGTCTCTAACCCCAGCAGCAGATCGATGTCAGCAGAACACAACTGGGCCCTCCTCTCCTTCTCACACCCCTTCAGGGCTCCCTCACCACCCACCACCTCAGATGCAAGCTTCCAAGCCTTGCTGGATACCTCCATGTGCTGAGCTCCACCTACCTTCCCATCCCCAGCCTTCCCCACCCCTGGAGGAGAAGAGCTGAGTGTGTGGATGCTCTCTGAATGCTGAGCACGGCCTTTTGCAGACAGTCCACTCCTTACGCTGCCCCTATCGGGATCTCCAACCTAAGCCTTTCCAGCCTGGAGCCTCCTCCCAGGGCCCCACAACAGAAGTGACTTCCCTGTCCTTTGAATTCCTATAGCACAAGGCCTATGCCCCCCAATAAACTGCAAACTCCCTTTGTGGAAAAGAACTTTATTCATTATTGTGCTATCACACTGTCTTATGGAGGACAGATTGTCAATAAATGTTTGCTGAATAAAAGAATAACAGTTACAAAATGCTTGATTTATATGGATTAATACTGGTTCTAAAACTGAGAAATTACAAACAGCACTGATATTCAGCCGGTACACACAAGTCTGGGCATAGCAGTTGTGAAATACTGAAATACCCACTGCCACTGACCCTTAGTATCCAGATGCCCCCCACTGCCACTGCTCTCCTCCCTGGAGCACCCGGACCTCCCACAGCTCCTAACTAAAGGGCTGACCACAGCAGGGAGCACCCAAGACCCAGCAGCCACATGGTCGGGTCTGCTGGTGAAAGCGTCCATCCTGACTGATCAGGGCCTACAGGGTTTCCGTGTTAAATATTTTGATAATATCCCTGATTATAAATAAGCCTCAATTATATAGTTGGAAAACGATTCTTCTCCTCATTTCAAAGCCTCTTAGAAGGCTCCATAGATCCAGGACGGAAGTGGAAAGTGACAGTGTGTCCATCTCTGAAGGTTTTGGGCATATCCATTAGCATTCCGCCTTCATGTAAACCAGAAGATACGCAGTTTCCTGCCTAGAGGGAAGAGAAGACGCATCAGCACAGCAGCATGAAAGCTTCATCAGAAAACGATGCTTCATTCATCCATGATGGGACAAGTGTCAGCTAACATCCAGGCAGCTGGATCGGGCCTTTGTCTATCCATCACCTCGGAGAGGAACAAAATAGACGGCCTGGGAAGATAAGCACTAAGTTTCTGTTAGTTAATATCTAAAGCAGAGGCTAACAAGCTCCAGGCACACAAGCCAAATCCAGCCCTGTCGGGTTTTTTAAATAAACTTTCAACTTGTATTTTAGATTCAGCGGGCACACGTGCAGGTTTGTCAGGGGTGTATGAGCATGGTACACAACAGTTAGTTTTTCACCCCCCGTCCCTTCCCCATCTGGTAGATTCCAGTGTCTCTTGCTGCCATCTTTAAGTCAATGAGTACCCAGCGTTTAGCTCCCATTTGTAAGTGAGAATATGCACTGTTTGGTTTTTGATGAGACCGGTTCTTGCCCTGTCCCCAGGCTGGAGAGCACTGGCACAATAATAGCTCCCTGCAGGCTCGTGCTCCTGGGCTCAAGTGATCCTCCTGCCTCAGCTTTAGCTTCCTGAGTAGCTAGGACTCCAGGTGTGTGCCATTATGCCTAGCTAGGACTTTTAAATTTTTTTGTAGAGATGGGTCTTGCTTTGTTGCCCAGGCTGGTCTTGAACTCCTGGCTGAAAGTGATCCTCCCGCCTCAGCCTCCCAAACTACTGGAATTAAAGGTGTAAGCCCACACCCAGCCTCCAAGCCCCTTTTTGGAAATAAATTTAACTGGCCCCCAGCCACGCTCATTCGCCCCAGTACTGCCTGCGGCTGCTTTTGCTCCACAGGGCAGAGTTCAGTGGCTGCAGCAGACACTGTACAGACCACAAAGCCTGAAGAACTTTCTCTCCAGCCCTTTACAGGGGAAGGCTGCCAACCTCTGATCTCAGTAACAGGGAAATCAATGGCAGCCACTCAGTGGCAGAGATTGGGTGTCTAAGAGGATGCTCAGGATAAACAGGAGAGAAAGATGAAAAGCAGAATGAAGATTTCAAATGCGAGCTTCATCTAATTCGTTACTTTTCAAATGACCAGGCCTATCTCTGTAGCTGAAAATCACCTCAGATAGCGTTTCTGACGTACAACCTCAAAGCTCAGCTAAGAAAACTTACAAAGTCTCTCTGCTTTAATTTCATCTAGCTTTTCTCTCTCCAGCTTCTCCTCTGTGGTCATTGGTTATAAACATATTTATTGATACTTACTAATGCAAGCCAAAGAAATACGAAAAAAGTCATCCTTCCCCCAAAAGAGTTCATAGTCTAATGTTATAGCAAGTTATGTAAGCAAACAATTTTAAAAACCAGTGGCCGGGCACGGTGGCTCACACCTGTAATCTCAGCACTTTGGGAGGCTGAAATGGGCAGATGGCTTAAGCCCAGGGGTTTTGAGACCAGCCTGGCAACACAGCGAGACTTCATCTCTACAAACATTTTTTTAAAATATGCCAGGATGGCCGGGCACGGTGGCTCACACCTGTAATCCCAGCACTTTGGGAGGCCGAAGCAGGTGGATCATGAGGCCAAGAGCTCGAGACCATCCTGGTCAACATGATGAAACCCTGTCTCTACTAAAAATACAAAAATTAGCTGGGTATGGTGGCGCGCACCTGTAGTCCCAGCTACTCGGGAGTCTGAGGCAGGAGAATCGCTTGAACCCAGGAGGCGGAGGTTGCGGTGAACCGAGATCGTGCCATTGCACTCCAGCCTGGGTAACAAGAGTGAAACTCTGTCTCAAAATAAAAAATAAAAATAAACAAAATAAAAAAATCAAATCAAATGAAATCAAATCAAATCAAATATGCCAGGCGTGGTGGTGCATGCCTGTAGTCCCAGCTATTCAGAAGGCTGAGGTGACAGGATCACCTGTGCTCAGGGGTTCAAGGCTGCAGTGAGCTCCGAACACGCCACAGTGCTCCAGCCTGGGCAACAAAGCAAGACCCTATCTCTAAAAATAACATTTAAAAAAACAGTTGTGATCTTTGCTTTAATATTCCTGGAGTGTGACTTGTGAGACAAGCGGGGGAGCGAGGTGAGTGCTGAAGATGAGGCGGACCGTGAGCCGTCAGCATGTCAATCACAGGGGGATCCACGGGCATTTCATGCGGCTCCAAGGACCCTATATGAGCTCATCGGGCTCCCATTATCCAAATACGTTTCTTACCAGTGGTAGTTAGGATTTCCGTAGGTACACTGGATGTCTTCCCAGGACAACTGGAAGCTGGAATCAAATGAGGTTAAGCAGCCACCAGCTGACACTTGTGAGCACCCACAGAGGACAGGGGGCTAGAATGTGCTCCTCATCCTCCAGACAAGCCCACTTCTAGCAGCTCCCAAGAGCCTGGAGTATCAGCGGCAATATGTCATGTGCAATGAAGTCTTTCTAGGGCCTTTGTCCCTGTGTTTAAACCTGGTCATGCTTATCCCAGATCCTAACTTACACATTTCTAACTCTGCTTGCTCTCTAGACATTTCCCACAAAGCATGAAGCTGCAGAGCACGAGCCTAGGGCACCAAACACTTAGAAGTGGAGGGAAGTGAACAGAGGTGCAAACCACATGGGGACTCCAGGCCAAAAAAGGCTTGAACCCTCATAAAAGGCCCCACACCCAGACAACGTGTCCACAGTGTGTTGATCTCGGAGATCCAGCATTTGTTAGAGGTGGCCCATCCCAGGCAGGAGGCGATTGTGGATGACGTTTGTCACTGAGCAAATATTGGAGTCATTGAAGCAGAACCATTTTCCGTCCACAGCATTCCGGATGTAGGCACAGTAATGACCAGAGTCCGCCATTCCCACGTGCGCAACCACAGCGAAGAGCTCATACTGCCCCCTAGGCTGGAAGAGACAGGCACGAGACACTTCACCTGCCACCACAAACACGACAGCACCACACCTTCATACCTGCCCACCCTAGGCCCGACTACGGGACTTCAGAATACAAGACCACAGTCCCGCCCCATGGCCGGCGGTCACCTTCCAGGAGGGACTTTCCTGAGTGCGGATCCTGAACTGCAAAGGCTCAGCAGCTTGGCAGAGCAGAGCACACAGGAGACAGAAGGTGGGAGGTCATGACACAGCCCCCAAAGCCAGGCACGATTAGAACCTCCCCCTGGGAGGGGTGGAGGTCATCAGAACACCGTTCTGTTTCTCCACAAGCCCAGGAGTGTCCGTAACCTGAGCCACCATACACAGCCAAAAAAGTCTTTGTAGGGGGAGGGGAGACAGAGGGCAAGGGCGTCACACGCAAAGCTGAGTCACCCACAGGGCAGGTTCCAGTTATCCCCTATTTCCATTTGCAGACCTTGTGCTGGACTTTAAAAAATGCAGGGCAATATCTGTACCTGAATATTAGTTTACAAGAAAGAAAAGGGTTAGAGGAACACGTGGAATGACACCAGCCAGGCAGTTCTGGCATATTTAAAAAGTCTTCAACGAAATTAACTGCAAGGAAAAGAAAAGCAACAGAAATCTAAAGGGAACTTAATCAAGAAAAGAAAGAAACTTAACCAAATGCAAGTGTAGGCATTGTTTGCATCTCGATTCAAACAAGCCACATGGATTCTAGAACAGTAGCGACGTCTGCACGTTGACCAGGTATTTGATGCGATCAAGGGATTACCACATGGACTTGGTTATGTTTTCAGTGTTTATTCTTTAGGGATGCATAACGAAGTGCTTACAAATAAAGTAGGATGGTGTCTGGAATTTGCTTCAAAAAAATCCAGTACAGGGTTGGATGAAGCAAGAGGGTCGTTTATAGGAAGAGCAAGACCTGCCATGAGTTTTGTAATGGTCACAGCTAGGATTCACTGTCTAATTCTTCACTAGACACTCTGGTATATATTTGCAATGTTCCATAACAAAGCCTTTGTTATTGCAAAGACAGAGTCTTGCTTTCTTGTCCAGCTGGGCTCTAACTGCTGGACTCGAGCAATCCTCGTGGCCTCCCAAAGAGCTGGGATTACAGGTGTGAGCCACCGCACCCAGCCAATAAAGTCTTCTTAAAGAGAAAAACAATTTTAAATATACTTCATCAGGCAGAATGTGCAGGTAGAAATATAAAGAACTAGAATGAAAGAAAAAGAGAATCCTGTGAAATGTATATGGTCTAAGTAGGTAAAGAAGCCTTGTTACAATAGGAGCTACGTCAGGCCTTAATTTCTAAATGCCATGGTTCTAAAGCATAAAGAGCCCAACAGACCAAAAAAACAGAAGAGACCCTCCTAAAGTAGGCCCACACTTGAAATCCAAGCACTCTGGAGGCCAAGGTGGGTGGATCATCTGAGGTCGGGAGCTCAAGACCAGCCTGACTAACATGGTGAAACCCCCATCTTAAAAAATAATAATAATAAATAAATAAAGACATGCAGTCAGGAAGAGGAGAGTGGGAGGGGTCTAATCACCATGAGGGTATTCCCAGGCCCCAGGATGCGCTCCGGGCCGCTCTCGCTTCCTCTTCATGTTGCTGTCTGCTTCCTTCTTTTCAACAGGATCTGCTGGGGACCGCGGAGACTCAGCCAGGTTTGACTGACAGCTTTGTCCCAGGAGCCCAAACGCTTTGCCCATTCGTGATCACTCCAAAACCCCAGGCCGCAGCTGCTGGGCCGATGTTCAGGACGGCACCACCTCACTTCTAGGAAGAGCGCATGGGAGTGAGCCAGGCACAATGGGATCGCTGCGAAAACACAACGCGGGTAGGTAAGGATTCGAGACCGGAGAATGTGTATGTATTCATGTATCTGTTCTGATGCGAAAGATCCAGGTCTTAGCTGGAGGTAACTGTCTGAGGAGGCTGACGCATAGAGCTCTAGGTTGGAAATGACAGGGAGGCTACACATCCGCTACCCTGGTTCCCACGCGTTTCCATTCATTTTTCGGCAGAATGGACTGCCAAACCCTAACCCGGAAGCCCTCTTGGGGAAGGACAAGGAAGCCCGCATAGGACTTTGCTTTGCAGCCCAGGATCAGGCCCACTTCAGGAAAACCCAGCACCGAGCAGAAACTCAGCCCCTGATGCCAGGCTGGCACCCACAGAGGAAGCCTCTCCACCCGCCCCACACTGGAAGGGAAACTGCGGCCCTGCAGGACAGACTTGTGTTCAGGCCGCATCACTGCCATCCGGCTGCAGCAGTCACAGGCCTCAGGTAAACCTCAGCTCCAGGCAGGCGGTGGCACCCGCAGGCCTCAGGCACTGGGCTGGTCTCACGGCAGTGGACTCTGGGTGTGACCCAGTATTGTGTCAGCCTCAGTGGCCATAGGGTTACCCGAGTACCCCTCCCCCAACCCCAGCACAGCAACGAGTGGAGAGACACTGTTTGCTTGGGGGAAGAAGAGGTAAGTGGAGGACTTTGCCTGGGAACCCAGTACTATGTTCACTACAGTAACACCCAGTACTGGGCAGAGCCTCAGCTCCCTGACACTAGACCAGTACCCACAGGCTGATCTCACCCCACCCTAGTGCCAGATGGGAACCCGCACCCCAGCGACAGGGACTTGGGATCTGGCCCACATCACCGCCTACCAGCTACAGTGACCTTGGGTGCTGAATAAACCTCAGCAGCAGCAGGCAAGCCATCGCAGCCGTGGGTCTTGGGAGAGCCCAGTGCTGTGCGGGTCTCAGCAGCCATGGCCTTCAGGCGTGACCCGGGCTGTGTCGGTCCCAGAGACCATAGAATTCCAACCGCAGTGATCAGGGTTTAGGGCGTGCCCTGGCACTGCAACAGCTGATGCAGTCATGGGCTTAGTGTCCTGAGCAATCAGCCTCTCCTTAATCTCGGATAGGTTTACTGATGAAAGAAGAGCCCAAACAAAGCCGGATGATGGAGACTGCCTTCGGTACCTATGTCAGTGCATGGACATTGGCACACAGCCCTAAGAATCAAGATCAGTCAGAGAAACATGAAATTGCTAAATGAACAAATGAGGGTTCCAGCGACTAACCCCAGAGATTCAGAGCTGAGGCCTGGCATGGTGGCTCACACCTGTAATCCCAGTACTTTGGAAGGCCAAGGCGGGAGGATCACTTGAGCCCAGGAGTTCAAGATCAGCCTGGGCAACATAGTAAGATCCCATCTCTACAAAAATAAAAAAAAGAAAAATCAAAAAACTTTAGATGGGCATAGTGGTGCACGCCTGTGGTCCCAAAATGCTCAGGAGACCACTTGAAGCCAGGACTTCAAGGCCTCAGTGAACTATGATTGTGCCACTGCACTCTAGCCTGGGCAACAGAATGAGACCTTGTATCTAAATAAATAAATACATACATAAATAAGATGGAATAAAATAAAATGATAATATGGGTAACATCTAAGCACTATTTCTTATAAAAGGCAAAAGACTTTTATATGTACTGTCTTATTTATCCCTACACAGCCATGTGAACTAATTACTGTTATATACCCATTTGACAGATGAGAAAACTGAGATAGAAAGAAGTGAGTGCCTTTCCCAAGGTCACACAACTGGCAAGTGATGGGCCAGATGTGGACAAGCAGGACACGGTTTAAGTCCAGCTGCCATGCTGCTCGAGTGAGAATTCAACTCAGGACCAATCATTGGTGGGAATGTAAATTAGTGGAGCCATGATGGAAAACAGTATGGAGACTCTTTAAAAACCCAGAAATAGCTCTATCATCTGATCCAGTAATCCCACTGATGAATATGCAAAGGAAAGGGAATCAGTATGTTGAAGACATATCTGCACTCTTATGTTTAGTGCGGCCCTGCTCATAGTAGCTGACATATGGAATCAACCTAAGTGTTTATCAAAAGATGAATGGATAAAAAAATGTGGACTATGTATACACGATGGAATGTGATTTAGCCACTAAAAGAGAATGAAATCCCGTCACTCACATCAACATGGATGAGCCTGGAGAACGTTACGTTAAGTGAAATACACTAGGCTCAGAAAGATAAATGCCACATGTTCACACTCACATGTGAAAACTAAAAAAGCTTATCTCCTAGAAACAGAGAATAGAAAGCCAGCCACAGTGGCTCACACCCGTAATCCTAGCACTTTGGTTGGCTGAGACAGGAGGATAGCTTGAAGCCGGGAGTTCAAGACCAATCTAGGCAACACAGCAAGACCCTGTTTCTAAAAATAAAAATAAAATTAGTCTGGGATGGAGGCATGTACCTGTAGTCCCAGCAACTTGGGAGAGTGAGGCAGGAGGACCAGTTGAGCCCAGGAGTTTGAGGCCACAGTGAGTTATGATTGTGCCACAGCACTCCAGCCTAGAAACAGAGTAAGACCCTGTCTCTCTTTTTTTTTT